CTAGGAGGCAAGGCTAATTGATACACAAAACTTATGTGAACGTAATCCATTATCACCTCTTAAAGCGCCCTAAGTGATCTAGGATGATTTTTTATTCAAGCAGTACCGAAACTTTTAAAACGTACTCATGCAGAATATAAGTAGCATTGTCGATTGTACTGAAAAATGCTATCTTGAATGACTAACTTGCACCATTGTATGAACGCACAAAGTCTTAAAGATGCCATTTCAAATGCGACTACTTCTTAACTACTTTATTCTCGGATGCCAGTTCCAATTCCTTTGTTGATAACTTTTCTTTTACTGTCACAGTTTACGCCTCAAACTCCAGCAAAAGAATCAACGATTTCGTGTCTAGTATTTGGTCTTGCATTTGAGATATTAATCTTGTATGATCCAAATGGATAAGGTTGACTAAACAAACAGATTTATTGCTGCATACTTCTCCGATGACAGAATGAAGCCCAGCAATTCGGCAGAATCCTTATCTGCCCTTAACTCGAGCGTCCTAATGTGTTCATCACTTAACAACCTCATGTATTGGCAATTAGCTCCAAGTAACTGTGACTGCATGTTCTAGCTCAGGCAACAGCTGTTTTTTCCCTCAAGACAGCTTTTGCCAACCATTGCTTAGTTTGGCGCAACGGGTAAATACACACTCCTCATACCCTCACTTTTTCCTCCCTTAAGAGCTCGCCGAATGGATAAATTTAGTCCATGCACATAAATCAGACATCCTCGTCGACGGGCAGTTCTATAAGCTGCCTCGTAGGTTGGCCCCCACTTCGGCTGTCGAGCAGAAAGTGTGGTATGGCGAACCTTTCTTACGGGGCCTGTACCAGCCGCTTGATGATACATGCAGCAATGGCCAGTCTGCCGTATCGCGGCACACAAAGCTAAGCTCGGATAGTTTAGGATCAGCCCACTTTTAGATGGGCTTTCACTGTGGGCAAGACGCGAAAGCGCTGCAGATCGTTGCCACAATGTGCTAGAGCTTTGCGCCATCGTGAGAGACATTCATCAGACAGACATTTCTTGCTGATCATCGTCCTCCAAGCAGTCTGATCCTGTCGACATGTGAGACGGAAGCAGACTCGACCTGATGCGATTACAATTTATGCTTGAGTCTGCTGAGTCTGCGCTTTGGTAATA